ACTAGTCTGCTCGAGTCCACGCTGGGCCTACTTACTGACCACCACCAGTCTGCTTGAGTCCACGCTGGGCCTACTTACTGACCGACACTAGTCTGCTCAAGTCCGCAGTGGGCCTACTTACTGACCGCCACTAGTCTGTTCGAATCTGCACTGGGCCTACTTACTGACCGCCACTAGTCTGTTCGAATCTGCACTGGGCCTACTTACTGACTGCCACTAGTCTGTTCGAATCTGCACTGGGCCTACTTACTGACCGCCACTAGTCTGTTTGAATCTGCACTGGGCCTACTTACTGACCGACACTAGTCTGCTCGAGTACGCACTGGGCCTAATTACTGACCGACACTAGTCTGCTTGAGTCCACGCTGGGCCTACTTACTGACCGACACTAGTCTGCTCGAGTCCGCACTCGGCCTACTTACTGACTGACACTAGTCTGCTCGAGTCCGCGCTGGGCCTAATTACTGACCGACACTAGTCTGCTCGAGTCTGCGCTGGGCCTACTTAACAACCACCTCTAGTCTGCTCGAGTCTGCGCTGGGCCGACCTACTGACCGCCACTAGTCTGTTCGGGTCTGCACTGGGTCTACTTACTGACCGACACTAGTCTGCTTGAGTCCCCACTGGGCCTACCTACTGACCGCCACTAGTCTGTTCGAATCTGCGCTGGGCCTACTCACTGACCGCCACTATTCTGTTCGAATCTGCGCTGGGCCTACTTACTGCCCGCCACTAGTATGTTCGAATCTGCACTGGGCCTACTTACTGACCGCCACTAGTCTGTTCGAATCTGCGCTGGGCCTACTTACTGACCGACACTAGTCTGCTCGAGTCCGCACTGGGCCTACTTACTGACCGACACTAGTCTGCTCGAGTCCGCGCTGGGCCTACTTACCAACCGCCAATGCCGTCGCTGCGAACGAACTCTTCAACAAGAGATAAGTAAAATGGAAGAGAAAGAAAAGGAAAAAAGAGAGGGGAGTAAAAAAGAAACAAAAATGAAATGTGGACGAAGGGGACAAGCCCCAGTTCAGAAGCCCTACTCCAACGCCACCTTACCAGAAGGATAACCATCTCCAACCACACCAACCTTTTATGCCATCACAAATATTTTCAAAACAAGTAAGCGTTCAAAGAAAATATTAAAGCAACACACATGCAATTTTCATTGAATATCTCTGGGATTTTTGACCTCAGTTGCTCACAGTAGTGACCAGAGATACATTTTTCAATCCTGGAGATTCCCGCTCTATCCTGAAGGTCCCTAGGTCTGGCTGCCTCATTTTGGAGCTCTCATCACTGATTCGCGGGCAGCGATGATTCAATACAAATTAAAGCTTTCCTCAGGAACAGGCCTCAGGCCTCAGGAGAGGATTTCCCACCATATCACCGTATCCCACTTCTATTTCTGCACATTTTAGTGTGACCATATTTACAGCCAAATTATTAATACTTTGCCGAGTATTGAGGGCTATTGCCGGAGAGAACGAATTCTTATTCCATCATTCTGAGAGAATATAGGAAATAGGAGCAGGGGTAGGCCATTTTATTTGGATTTTCAGGAAGCCTTTCACAAGGCGCCACACAGACAGCTGCTAAGTAAAATAAGAACCCATGATGTTAGGTACAAGGTACTGGGGTGGATAGAGGATTGGCTAACTGGCAGAAGGCAGAGAGTTGGAATAAAGGGGTCTTTTTCAGGATGGCAGCTGGTGACTAGTGGAGATCCACAAGCGTTAGTATTGGGACCACAATTAGTCACATTATATATTAACGATCTGGACAAAGGAACTGAGGGCATTGTTGTTAAGTTTGCAGATAATAAAAAGATAGGTGGAGGTTCAGGTAGTACTGAGGAAGCAGGGAGACCGCAGAAGGTCTTGGACAGGCTAGATGAGTGGGCAAGTGTCAAGTTATGCACTTTGGTAGGAAGAAGAGATATGGACTATTTCCTAGGCATCAGAAATCTGAAGCACAAAGGACCTTCGGAGGCCTACTTCAGGATTCTCTTAAGGTTAACATGAAGGTTCAGTTATCAGTTGGGAAGGCAAATGTACAGTCAGCATTCATTTCAAGAGGACCAGAATATAAAGGAAAAGGGATGTACTGGTGAGGCTGTATAAAGGTTCTGGTCAGACCACATTTGGAATATTGTGAGCAGTTTTGGGTCCTGTATCTAAGAAAGGATGTGCTAGCATTGGAGGGGATCCAGAGGAGGTTCACAAGAATGATTCTGGAGATGAAGGACTTGTCATATGGCAGCAATCAAGGACCATGGGTCTGTACTTGATGGATTTTAGAAGGATGACGGGGAATCTGATTGAGAGTTACAAAATACTGAGAGGCCTGGATAGATTGTGCATGGAGAAGATGTTTCCACTAGTAGGAGAGACTAAAACCTTAGGACATAGCCTCAGAGTGAAGGCACGACTCTTTGGAACTGAGATGAGGGTGAATTCCTTCAACCAGACGGTGATGAATCTGTGGAATTCATTGCTGCAGAAAGCTGTGGAAGCCGAGACAGTGAGTGTATTTAAGACAGAGAAAGATAGGTTCTTGATTGTTAACGGGGTCAAGGGTTATGGGGAGAAGGCAGGAGAACAAAGTTGAGAAACATATCAGCCATGATTGAATGAGATAACAAGGTGTTGAGCTGGATGAACACAGCAGGCCAAGCAGCATCAGAGGAGCAGGAAAGCTGATGTTTCGGGCCTAGACCCTTCATCAGAAATGGGGGAGAGGAAGGGGGTTCTGAAATAAATAGGGAGAGAGGGGGAGGCGGATAGAAGATGGATAGAGGAGAAGATAGGTGGAGAGGAGACAGCCAGGTCAAAGAGGCAGGGGTGGAGCCACTAAAGGTGAGTGTAGGTGGGGAGTTAGGGAGGGGATAGGCCAGTCCAGGGAGGACGGACAGGTCAAGGGGGAGGGATGAGGCTAGTAGGTAGGAGATGGGGGTGGGGCTTGAGGTGGGAGGAGAGGATAGGTGGGAGGAAGGACAAGTTAGGGAGGCAGGGACAAGCTGGGCTGGTTTTGGGATGTGGTAGGGGGAGGGGTGATTTTGAAGCTTGTGAAGTCCACATTGATACCATTGGGCTGCAGGGTTCCAAAGCGGAATATGAGTTGCTGTTCCTGCAACCTTCGGGTGGCATCGTTGTGGCACTGCAGGAGGCCCAAGATGGACATGTTGTCTGAGGAATGGGAGGGGGAGTTGAAATGGTTCGTGACTGGGAGATGCAGTTGTTTATTGCGAACCGAGCATAGGTGTTCCGCAAAGCGGTCCCCCAGCCTCCGCTTGGTTTCCCCGATGTAGAGGAAGCCACACTGGGTACAGCGGATACAGTATACCACATTAGCAGATGTGCAGGTGAACATCTGCTTGATGTGGAAAGTCTTCTTGGGGCCTGGGATGGGGGTGAGGGAGGAGGTGTAGGGGCAGGTGTAGCACTTCCTGCGGTTGCAAGGAAAAGTGCCGGGTGTGGTGGGGCTGCAGGGGAGTGTGGAGCGGACAAGGGAGTCACGGAGAGAGTGGTCCCTCCGGAAAGCAGATAAGGGTGGGGAGGGAAAATGTCTTTGGTGGTGGGGTCGGATTGCAGATGGCGGAAGTGTCGGAAGATGATGGTTGGATCAGGAGGTTGGTGGGGTTGTACGTGAGGACGAGGGGGATTCTGTTTTCGTTGTTATTGTGGGGAGGGGGTGTGAGGGATGAGTTGCAGGAAATGCGGGAGACACGGTTGAGGGCGTTCTCGACCACTGAGGGGGGGATATTGCGGTCCTTGAAAAACGAGGACATCTGAGATGTTCGGGAGTGGAATGCCTCATCTTGGGAGCAGATGCGGCGGAGGCAAAGGAATTGGGATTAGGGGATGGCATTTTTGCAGGAAGGTGGGTGGGAGGAGGTGTATTCTAGGTAGCTGTGGGAGTTGGTGGGCTTGAAATGGATATCGGTTTCCAGGTGGTTGCCAGAGATGGAAACAGAGAGGTCCAGGAAGGAGAGAGAGGTATCAGCGATGGTCCAGGTGAACTTAAGGTTGGGGTGGAAGGTGTTGGTGAAGTGGATGAACTGTTTGAGCTCCTTGTGGGAGCATGAGGCGGCGCCGATACAGTCATCGGAGGGAGAGGTGGGGTTTAGGGCTAGTGTAGCTACGGAAGAGGGATTGTTCCACGTAACCTACAAAGCTCGGGCCCATGCGGGTACCCATGGCCACCCGCTTTGTCTGTAGGAAGCTTCATCCCGCCCCCTTGACCTGTCCGTCCTCCCTGGACTGACCTATCACCTCCCTAACTCCCCACCTACACTCACCTTTCCTGGCTCCATCCCCGCCTCTTTGACCTGTCTGTCTCCTCTCCACCTATCTTCTCCTCTATCCATCTTCTATCCGCCTCCCCCTCTCTCCCTATTTATTTCAGAACCCCGTTCCCCTCCCCCATTTCTGAAGAAGGGTCTAGGCGCGAAACGTCAGCCTTCCTGCTCCTCTGATGCTGCTTGGCCTGCTATGTTCATCCAGCTCTACACCTTGTTATCTCAGATTCTCCAGCATCTGCAGTTCCTACCATCTCTGAAGCCATGACTGAATGATGGAATAGACTGGATGGGCTGAACGGCTTAATTCTGCTCCTGCATCTTACGGTCTTATGGTCTTATTCAGCCCCTTAAGCCTACTGGACCATTCAAAAGGCAACAGCTGATCAGATTGTGGTCTTTATTGTAATTTCGTGCCTGTTGCCTCCATATTGTTTGATTCTTTATTAGATCAAAATCACCTTGAATGGATTCAATGACTCACTGATCTCCCAGCAAGAAAATTCCAAAAACAAGCACACCTTATTATTTCCCTTTAAGCTTTTACTCATGTTACATGGGGTTACCATAACAATGGTACCAACAATGACTTTGCGATTTGTCAGTTGGTTTTCTCGTTAACGTTCTTCCTATCATCACCAACAGGGAAACTGTTCCTCTTACCGACTACCACAGGGGTGTTGGGAGGATTTACAGGTTGACAATCAACCTGATGGATCACATTACAAACACCCTTTCATTGACTGTTGAGTTCCAGAATTGAACTCAAACCAGGGGCTTCTAGCTTAGAGGCAGAGATGCTACCACAAAACCTCCTCCAAATACTAATACACCTTTGAGAAAAGGAGTTCCTCCTCATTTCCTTGTGAATTTGGAGGATCCTTGACTTGAAACTGACCCTGCTGGTTTTAGACCCACCTACAAACAGAAATATCCTCACAACATCTACCTTGTCAAGCTCCCCCCTCAGAATCTTACGTAAGGTCTGACTCAATGTCAGAAAAAAGGGGTGTTACTCACATTGTTAGGTTTGCTAATGTCTTTATTTAACGTTAAGGAGAATCAGGAGGTGTCCATCGATTGCATGAGAATAGATATACATAAAGAGAGTACCTGTGTTGTTAGATTGTGGAAAGGAGCTTTGTGACTGAGTTGTCAATAAACTCTATCCACAAGAGAAAGGTCCCTTTCTACTTCACCAACAAGTTTAGATCTGAATTGGCAGAGATGTCATGAACTGAGCTCTTTCGACATAATAATGATATTGCTTGGGCTATGGATGGGGAGCAACTTGGGGTTGATTTGCCCACTTACCTCCTTCTGTGGTGTTTATCGCAAACTCCTCACTCCAGGGTCCACGTCCTCTACCATTGACTGCTGCCACCTGTAGCTTATAGGCATGATATGGCTGCAAGCCTGATACTATGGCACGCGGACGCTGTCCAGGAGACTCCATGACCTGAACACGTGACCTGTATTGGTTGGTCTTCAGCAGACTTCCCTCATTCCAATACTGAATCTGAGCAAGAGAAGAGTCTCAATCAGTCTGTATGCTATCTCCGTGACAGAACGGAGATGACAAAAAGAAAGCTCAGAGCAGTCAATCCCACTCGTACAAACTTGAATCTTGCTGGAAAGGGACACATGTTACTGAAGCTTCTTGCCTTGTGCCCGTCAGGACACATAAGAACATAAGAACTAGGAGCAGGAGTAGGCCATCCGGCCCCTCGAGCCTGCCCCGCCATTTAATAAGATCATGGCTGATATTTTTGAGACTCAGCTCCACTTACCCACCCACTCACCATAACCCTTAATTCCTTTACTGTTCAAAAATTTATCTAGCCTTGCAAGATGCAAGAATGCCAAATTTCAAATGATCACAATGACTTATACAACAGGAGAAAACAGTGCTGATTGGTTGGCATGTTGACTTTGAATGGCTGCGCCATTGTCATAGAGAACACCCATCCCGCACCCCTCCCCCCTCTCCCCTCCCCTCCCCTCCCCCATCACCACCATCCCTGCAGTGGAAATGCTTGAATCTCTGTACATTGGGTCAAGTGGTTATACGTGAGGAATGGATTAATGTTGGCCTCCAGAAATTGGAATTTTCCCAGCCCTATGGTGTGGAGCACCAGGTGGCAAATTTGAATCTTGCCTGTTTGATGCTGTGTTTGAATTTATGGATTATAATCTGATGGTATTATTACCAGAAAGTATCTGTATGTTTCAGTTCGATGTTCAGAACACAAATGAGGAATAAATTTCGAACTGAACTCTGGAAACTGTCAATGGAAATAATATCGTGGAATGTGTGGTGTTCACATTTTGATTTGGTCTTCATGATGCTAATATAGACCATAAAAGACTAGGATTGGTCAACATACAGGGCATAGTCCTAATGCCACTGGACTAGTAATCCAGAGGCCCTTGGCTAATGTTTTGGGCACATGGGTTCCACCGTAGCAGTTCATAGAATTTGAATTCCAATAGTGAAAAGGAAAATGGAATTGAAAGCTACTGTCAGGGATAGTGACCATGACTATATCACTGATTGTTATAAAAACCCATCTGGCTCACTACTGCCCTTTTGGGAAGAAAATCTATCATCCTTACGCAGTCTGGCCTACACGTGACTCCGTACTCATAGCAATGTGACTGACTCTTAACTGCACTCTGAAATAGCCCTCACAAGCCTCTCAGTTCAAGGGAAATTAGGGATGAGCAACAAATACTGGTGTTTAATAAACAAAAACAATGCTCAGATGTTGTATACATACACAAATATATATATAAGCCCACAAAGTATTCTCTTTCTCTCTCTCTCTCACGCACATACACATGGATATACACATACACAGAGGTACATGTACACAAATGTACATGCTCTCATGCACATGCACGTGCGTGCGTGCGCGCGTGCACACACACGCACAGACAGGTACACACACATGAATACACGTAGACTTTGCAGCAAGAAATCTATAGGCTGCACTGTATTCATGGTTACGTTGTGCATACAATAATCAATCATGTTTGATTGTAGAATCAAGATCTTGCAGCTACTTACTCTGTGGCCAATGAGATATCCTTGAATCGTGTCTGGTGGCAATGACCTCCACTGCAGTAGAATGGCTGTGCTGTTAATAATCCTTCCAGAAAGGCTTGTGGGCGCTGCAATTGGAACTAAACACAGCCAGAAAACAGGTTCAAAAGACAGAGAGTGAGACATAGCTGAATTTTATCCACTTATCTGAGACAGTCCTATGTTCTTTTTAATTCAGCAAAGGTAATGGTTCATAACATTGGATTTGGAAGTCTCAGTCATCTGCTACTATCCAGCTCCCTGCCTGACAGTGCCTTGGTTGTAAGATTCTCATCCCCATTTAAAATCCCTGCAAAGATTCACATTACCACATCCTTCAATCTCCTCCAGCCCCACGATCCTTTGAAATCTCTGAACTCTTCCCATTCTGTTCTCATAATGCAACTTGGATTTTATCTTTGGTGACTGTGCTTTCAGCTGCCTGGGCCTGAAGTTCTGCAATTCCCCCACTACACCTCTGCACCTGTCTATCCCAGATTTCCTCCAATAAGCCACTCCTGAAAACCTAACCCTTTGTCCAAACTTTTGGCCACCTGACCTAATATCTCCATATGCGATTTTTATTTGATAGTGACTCCTATAAAACACTATTAATTACAATGCTAATGGTTGCTATATAAATACAATTTTACAACTGCTGATTATCTGACTGCCTTTATGCTGCCTGCAAAATTCAGACTTCTGAGACTGAAATTTTCCAAGTTTGCTACATGTCGTTTGGAGTCTTACCCTGGACTGTTTTGCTTTTAACATTCAAAGAACCCACTCCAATAACACTGAAGAGAAAGGCTTGCCTTTATGTAACTCTTCATCATGACTTCTGTGTTACCCAAAGTACTATGCGAATATACAAATTAAGAGGGGTAAACCATTCAGCTTCTAGAGCCTGCTCCATCATCCTATAAGATTCGTGGCTGATCTGATTATGGCCTCAACTCCACTTTCCTGTGCGCCCCTGATTACAATCAACTCCCTTGTTTGTCAAAAATCTGCCTTAAAATAGTCAAACCAGTAAATAATTGCTTGGTAATACAGAACTTAATCCTTGGTAAAAGGAGATAAAATGTCATAACTTCTTGCCTCACACTCATCATCCCGTTGACCATTCACAGTAGGCAGGATGCTGATCATGCTCAACTAGCCTGCGTTTACAACTCTCAGAATATTATATCAACCATTAGCTAGGATTCTACGTCTGAATACCATTTACTCGATAATCCAGGCTGTGCTGAGAATTACATCGGGAGCCAGGTTAAGATCATTCGTCAGGCTTTCAGCTTGATGCACCTGTACCTGCCTATTTTATGCAGGCAAAAGGGATCTGTACATACACTGCACTTTTCCCATTGGAAAAAGAAGGGGTCATGGAGACTGTTCCATTCCCATAGCAATGCCCTGACCAATCAGTGTCAAACAACCTGCCCTGAGAAATAGGATTGACAGTTAACTGTCCCTTTAAATGTCCATTCCAGTAATGACCCAGGCAATCACTAATCTCTTTTCATGCTGTTTAAGTTGGTGTGCCCTTTTCTCAAGGCTGTTTCTTGAACTAGAAACTCAATGAGTGCAAGATGAAAAGTTTTGACTTTGTGTCTCCTTTTGACAATATTCCACACAATATTGACAACAAAAATTAACCACTTATTGAATGTAGCCATTCGTATAAAATTGGAAACACTGCAGCTAGTTTCCACACAAACAAACATGTGAAACTGGCCAGAAAATTGTTTTTTAGTTGAGGGGTAAATATTGTGCAGGAAACCAGGGAAGGCTTCCCTGTTCTTCCAATACTGCCATAGGATCTTATATGTGAAAGGCTGAATGAGCTCCGTTTGGTGTCTTTTTCTGAAGCTCGGACCTCCATCAGGTGTAACGTTCCCTCAAGCCCCATATTGGAATTTCACCTTGGATCATTGGTTCAATTGAGAACTTAAGTTTACCCAAATGTTGCAGCCTAGAGCTGAGAGTGGTTTCCACTGAGCTGAGGCTGAGAGCTATGCAAAGTAAGAAAATCACATCTTCAACTCACAGACAACTAGAATTCTGTGTTTAACATGGCAGTCAATAGTTATAGCATCTGGCTTGCTTCCCTTGATATACTTACAGTCTTCACCCGAGTATCCAATTATAATTCTTGGTTCCGGACCTACTCCAAAGTCATTCACTGCCTGCACTTTAATCTCATAGGGCGTGAAGAAGGGTGTTGGTGAGACAATGTAACTGGCCCTGGGGACTGTGACTGTTGACCACTCCCCACCCACATCCTTTTGTCTCCAGCTGACTATATACTTGAGATTGGGGCCACTGATTTGCGTTCCATTCAGAGGCTGAAAAACAGAACATAATATCCAGAATAGAAAGATAGAAAAATAAATATACAGTATACAAGCAAGCAAAACCACAATTATAGAATCTCTACAGCACGGAAGCAGGCCATTCAGCCAAAAACAGATGCTCCGAACAGCATCCCATACAAACCCACACCCTTACCCTATCCCTGTAACCTAATCCACTTAACCTGCACATCCCTGGACACTATGGGACAATTTAGCATGGCCAATCCACCTAGCCTGCATATCTTTAGACTGTGGGAAGAAACCAGAGCACCCGGAGGAAACCCCCACAGACGCAGGGAGAATATGCAAACTCCACACAGACAATCACCCAAGGCAGGAATCGAACCCTGGTCCCTGGTGCTGTGAGGCAGCAGTGCTAATCACTGTGCACCATGCCACCCAATGATGGCAACTACAACTAGACTTCAGAAAATAGTTTATATTTTGTTTCCCCTCAACCCCAATTTAAGTCAGACTTTGTAACTGATCTCTCTTTTCTACTGATTTGCTCTCTTTAGCATTCTTTCTCTTTTTATCTCTCTTCTTTGTCTCATGGCAGACATTCTGATGGCACATATATATTGTTTCCCTTGGGAATGACGTTAATGAATTCTGGTGAGGGAATATGATGTAGTGATTCATGGGAAGAAGGCTTCAATTCTAGGGATCATCCGCAAATTTTAAGGAATATCAGTTTGATTTATTTGGGTGTCGTGTTCTTATTGCCTCATTGACTGTTGTAAATGCACTGCAATAGGTTTTAGAGTTAGATCTTTGTGAAGATTCATCTTCCTCATTGTTAATTATTCATATAAATGTGATTTTTAATGAACAATCAATTCACTCTCAAAGAATTTCCAAATGAACAATAGCATATGAATTGAATTGAATCTTTAGCTGCTCATAATGCTACACAAACAGTAGAAATGGTCAAGAGAAATCCATTGTTCCCGGCCTGTATTGCTGGACAGTTAGCAATCTCCGAATGAACTTCCTAGTTAAGTTATGTAACTGTTCTTTGACATCTCAGTTCACAATTCACCAACTTCCTTCACAGCATTCCTGGGTCAGTGGTTAACGACAGGCTTTTTCAGAGGTGAGTGAAATAACAGGACAAACTGTACTCACCGTCCAACTGATTTGCATGCTTGATTTTGATATTCCTGCCCCTCTAACATCAGATGGATTGATCTCTGGAGCTAGAAAATACAAAATGATGTTACAAGCCATTTCGCTGAATGCAGAGAATTCAAGCTGTGAGATATTGTACCTACTGGAGTGATTAATGCAAAGGTCTTGACACCTTTTCAAAGGCTATAAGGTGGGTGAGCTTTGTATTGCTGTATTAAGGCAAATTATGTCAACTCTTCTATAGCTTCAATATTAACTTGCACTGCAGTATGCATTTCTCTCAATATCACCAATCATTTTTTCTTGAGGAATAATTAGTTTGTTGGTTAGTGTTGACCCTCAAAATCAGAAGGTGCAGGATTCATAGCCTACCTGGATGGATATTACAGCTCCTGCTCCAATTTCAGGGCTGACATCAAGTGAGATAATCGAACTGTTGAGCCTTCATAGCTTGTAAAAGCCCATAAAAACTCTCACTTTTGAATAAAGGATGATATTGCGGAGTATTTGGACGTGCATTGTAAAACAGGGTTGAGGCAGCACAGCTTCATCAAGGGGAGGGGTCCAGAGAAGGTTTACAAGAATGACCCTGGGGATGAAGGGCTTGTCATATGAGGAATGGGTTGAGGACTCTAGGTCTGTGCTCGATGGAGTTTAGAAGGATGAGGGGCAGGTCTGATTGAAAATTACAGAATACCAAGAGGCCTGAATACAGTGGATGTGGAGAAGATGTTTCCACTATCAGGAGGGATCCGAGGGCACAGCCTCAGAGTGGAGGGATGACCCTTTCGAACTGAGATGAGGAGGGATTTCTTCAGCCAGAGGGTGGTTAATCTGGGGAACTCATTGCTGCAGAAGGTTGTAAAGGACAAGTCATTAAGTGTATTTAAGACTAAAATAAATAAATTCTTGATTAGCAAGGACATTAAAGGTTATGTGGAGAAGGCAGGAGAATAGGGTTGAGAAAAATATCAATCATAATCAAATGGCGCAGTAGGCTCGTTGGGCTCAAATGGCCTAATTCTGCTCCTGTATCTTATGGTCTAAAAGTTGTGCCACAGGACTAGCCACCCAGAGAATGTGAGTTCAAATCCCATGGCAGGTTGACAATTTGAATTCAGTGTGGATACTTCAATTAGACTAAAATAAACTGAGGTAGTGATTGTCCAAATCCGAAAGAGGGGGAAGAGTTACTGCAAGAGTATAAAAAAAGAGATGGGACAAGACTGTGAAGTCGCCATGGAAGTCAACCATTCACAGTGTGCAAATAGAGAGGGTGAAGTGTGTTAAAGATTGGCCCCTCATCCTAATTCTTATCTTCTGATTTGAGATTAACCCCATCCTGCGCTGGTACAAAGAAGGAGCATGCATGTGTTGTCCTGTCAGACTGTTCGTCAGCCTGTAGGAAATTTCACACCCTGTCTGAAAGGTAAAGTGTGAAGATACAAAAACAATGGCCGTTTTCCTTCTCCTGCTCAGCCTACGATCTTCTGCCTTTTGCCTGCTTGCTAGCTCTTAGTTTCAATCCTGCAAATTTTCTCTGGCACCATTATTGCTCATTTCCCTGTCCATGGTGCTGAAGTTGCGGCTGCGGTGAATTTGCAATCAGAGCAAAACATTTGAACCGTTCAGGTTAATGTGGAACTCTCAGTGCCGAACACTTAGAGTTGGACAAAATGTCAACAAACTTCTGGCTCAGATTACAAATGCTGTTTAACACTCAAATAGTAGTCAGTGTCAGCCCCGAACTTCCTCATCACTCACGTACAGGGTCTACCAGAGAACTGATATGAGGAAAGGACTGGTGAACTTCAAAATCTAAAACACAGAATCACTGCTCACAAGAAATCCGCTCTCTAATTAATATGGGGCCATGTGAGGAATTACAGTTGCTAAGCCTCTCGACCTGCCCTGCAGTCTTCAGGGATTTAAAGTTGACATTTTAAACATTGCTTTGGACACAACCCAGGAGAGAAAAATAATCATAGGGGCATGAAGAAATGCCTCTTTTTCATTCACTTTGAATTCTGCTTGATAGTGGCAAACTTATCGTCTCTGTAGATAAAAAGGCAATCTGTCCATCAAGAGTTGTCAAATTCAGTCGTTATCAAAGCCAGAATTTTCCAATCTCCGCCGTTCCCACCTTTCTCGATGGGGTTGCTGAGGCTGAGATACACAACTTCAGGACCTTTTGGCGCCCTTCACTGGACTGCTGGCCACTGGTAGCCAAATGAGGAAGTTTCCCATGGCAAAATCAGCCAAGGCAGACCCTCTGCTTACAGGTGCTGGGTTTTGACCCACCTTTCAGCCCAATGACCAGGTCCTAAAGTCCACAGTGAAACTTAACCACCCCTCTTTTCAATGGAAGGGGTTGAAGGTGGGAATATAGTTGTACTGAGGATGGGCATACTGGTCAACCAATGAGGACAGCTCATGGTGAATAGGAAGAGTAAGGTTATATAGTTTGATCTCTCTGACTACATCCAACACAGAATTGGCAAACCTAACAAGTAGTCTGTCTAACTCAAACATGTCTCATTACATTGAGCAAATGAGGCTGAGGGGAGGGATTCCCAATTGGGAGAGTTTGCTTGGTGGCAGCCTCACATGTATTCAATCTACAATTCCCTGTGATATAGCCAACATAATTTTCCCAAGTGAAATAAAGAGGAGTAATACATTAAAACAATAAAAATGTTAGCAACTGAATATTCACCTGGGATTTGATCCATGCACAGGGCAGATCCTACAGTCAGGTTAAGGTCACCATAGTCTTACCAGGGCAGCTGTCTCATCAGACAGAAAGAGAGAGATGACTAGTGGTAGTTTAACCTGATGATCACTGTGCTTCAGGCAAGGGGAGAGGTTGAGAAGGTGGGTCCTTCATGGTAACCTCAGGAACTGAACCCTCGCTGCTGGTGTAACTTTGCATCGAAAACTCACCACCCAGCTGACTAAAATTCTAACAAGTCTATACAGACCAAGTGAAGGGAGGATGTTTCCCTAGCTGGGGAGTTTAGAACCAGGGCTCACAATCTCAGGATACAGGACAGGCCATTTAGGATTTAGGAAACATGTCTTCACTCTGAAGATGGTAAGCCTTTGCAATTCACTATTGTAGGAGGGCGTGAAGGCTGGGCCACTGAATATATTCAAGAAAGAGGGGCAACGAAGGGTATAGAGAGAGAGCAGGAACACGACGTTGAGATAGAATACCAGCCATGATCATACTGAATGATGGAACAGGCTCAAAGGGCTCAATGGCCTACTCCTGCTCCTAGTTTCTATGTCACACTTTAAAGGCTTTGAGCCAAATCATTGAAAACACAAGACAGAAAAGTCAAGTTAAGACCATCACCTGTTCCAGTTGTTTGATAACGTTCAGAAGGCAAACTGGGGGCTCCTTCTCCAACTTCATTCACTGCTATCACCCTGAACTGGTAATTAACGTACGGAGAGAGCTGTAATACTGCAGAGTTGATGTTGCCTGGGATTCGGGTCAAATTGTGCCACTTTCTGGGCTGAAATTTGTTCTCTTCGAACTGCACAATGAACTCTGTAAAGATGGAGAAATGACAAGACTACGTCTACTACTGGTTCCACTAATACATTCAATAAAGAGCAAAGCTGCACCATTTTAACTCCTTTGCATCCTCGGTAAGACAGTTTTCTCATTGTCTGAGACAGAAAATGAGACTCCAGAGTCAGGGTACAGTGGAGCAAGGGTATATCTCCTGCCAGGACTCTGAAGCTTGGTACAGATATCTCACTCTGCCAGAAATCAGAGAATTCTAGTCAGGACAAGGAGAAGAATCTTTTATCTGGTAAACCACATCAAGCAGGTGCAGGGAAGTTTAATGGGACTGTCTAGATTACTCTATGAATTCTGCCAAAGCTGTTCTCATTAGCCCCAGTAGAATTAATGTTTGGCTTGCAGCTGGTAGGAGTTCCAACAACAGTAATGATCATAGTCTGGGGTCAAGATGCAGGAAATCCATATGAGAAGGAATTTTCAAAATTGTCCCTAAACTTCCTCAGCAATTGGAACTGTATGGTTATAAAACTTGTCCCTTTTCCTCTTTTCCCAGGCAGCAGTTATAGGATGAAAGACGTTCGTTCCAGGGTTGGCTTGGAGTCTTCTTTACTGAGGGGAAACTAGATTGAGGTGTACAAGGTTGTAATGGGGTTTAGACAAAATAGTCAAAAAAATGTTGCTCTATTCAGTTGATTGTACAGGAGGACTACAGGATAGATTTAAGACTTTGGGTAAGAGATGCCAGGAAAATATGAGGAAGAACTGTTTTACACATTGACTGTTAATGACTGGGAACTCAGAGATAACAAGGGGTGGTGGGTTCAGAGATGGTCAATGATTTCAAAAGGAAATGGGATGGACACTTGAGGGAAATTATTTCCACAGCTCTGTAAGGTTGAACAGGGGAATGGAACAGACCAGATTGGTCAACAGAGAGCCAGCCTTGAGTTGATGGTCAGATTGGACTTCTTCCAAGTTGCAACGACTCCATAAATCTCTGAGAACCACTCTCAGAATTTCAGGGCATTAGGCAAGAGAATGATAATGCTGGAAGCTAGAAGTTACTCAATAATTCAACAACTGTATGCTGTGAAGAGGGATATCTATTGAATCAAAAATAGGTGAGAGTCAGGAATATTCAAGACAACTATACTTTTCACATGTTTTAGGTACTGTACAAAATGATAAGGAGGAACATCAAAATCATTCTTGTTGTCTGTTTACCACAGATGCTCATTTTGTACCTGTAATTGGACTGTTGTTGTCATCACCAGGAATCCATGTCAATCTTACACTTCGATCTGCTGGATCCGTTAGTTCCAGATCTCGGGGAGCATCAGGACGATCTAGAATAAGTCATGTCAAAAAGCTTAACCAAAGCATAAGCTGTACCTCCCCACTTACAACCAAATCTCTGAAGTTAATTCCCCAAACTAACCAAATAGAATCAACCCCAGTGAATTAGCTGAACATTAAAAAAAAAACAAACCAAATCAAGCCATGTCAAGTCAACACAAGTGTCCAAAAGTCAAAACAGGTCAACCAAGCTTCCTTCATGAAACCAAAACTCAACCTCTTCAATGGAAACTTAAATCAAACTTTTAAAACCAAAGCTAAATATTACCATCCAATGCAAACTAACAATAGAAAATTCTGGAAACATTCAGTGTGTCTGCAAACTCCAATGAAGCCACAAACAGTTATTGGATGCAGACACTTTTATAAAACTCAATGGGAGTGAAATTCCTCTTGCTGGGTACCATATACTAAACAGAGAAATGGCAGCTTTTTGTACACTCCCATTTCCTGTTTGATGGAAAATAAATTTGTGTAGAGTGAGATGGGCTGTCAATATGTCTCCCACTATCCACTGCCACTCCCAAGCCAAATTTCATTCCAATTTTTTAAAATGAATTAAGCCCAACCATGTAAACCAAATGAATTGAAGCATCCTTCAGCCTTCACAAGCCCAAACTAACTTACGCTAAAGGAAGTGATGCCAACCTAATATTTTTGCATTCCTATTTCCTCCCAATCTATTGTTACCATTGGTTTAGGGATATAGATGGATACTTGCTTCTGCACTAACTGTAGACACAATATACACGTTGCTTTAATCTGAGGGCAAGTTTACTTCCAAAAAATATGTAAAAATGACATACCCTTGGAATTTCAGAACTAAAGTGCAAGAAGACCAACTTTAGAATGGAAGGATCAAAGTACATGGCATCAAAAGAGAGTGCTGATTGCTTGGATTAAGGCTAACATAAAAATCCAGCAGGAACTGTTAACTGTTTTAGTTACCTGACAAAATTCAGATGTGGCTCAAACATTGCTCTTTCCTCGCTAAAGTTGTTTTCCTTGCACATCAAGTCTGATGTGTGTAAGATGAAAAGTTTTGACTTCATGCCTGTTTTCACTAATATTTAGGTTCAGTGCTACCAAGCATTTATATTTGCATTACCATTTATCTGGACGAAAGCTTATATAAAGTTATAGAGTCACACAGTCACAAAGACATACAGCATGGTAACAGACCCTTTGGTCCAACTCGTCCATGTCGACCAGATATCCTATATAAATCTAATCCCATTTGCTAGCATTTGGCCCATATCACTCTAAATCCTTCCTAGTCAGATACCTTTTAAATGTTGTAATTGTACCATTTCCTCTGGCAGCTCATTCCATACATGCATCCACCTCTGCATGAAAAAGTTGCCCTTTAGGTCCCTTTTAAATCTCTCCCCTCTCACCTTAAACCTATGCCCTCTAGTTTTGGACTCCCCCATCCCGGGGAAGAGACCTTGTCTATTTACCCTATCCATACCCCTCATGATTTTGTAAACCTCCATAAGGTAACCCCCTCAGCCTCTGACGCTCCAGGTTAATAGCCCCAGCCTATTCAGCTTCTCCTTATAGCTCAAACCCTTCAACCCTGGCAACATTCTTGTAAATCTTTTCCGAATCCTTTCAAGTTTCACAACATCCTTCCTACAGCAGGGAGACCAGAATTGCACATGGTATTCCCAGAGTAGCCTAACCAATGTCCTGTACAGTCACAACATGATCTCCCAATTCCTATACTCAATGCACTGACCAATAAAGGAAAGCATATCAAATACCTTTTTCACTATCCTATCTACTTGCAACTCCACTTTCAAGGAACTATATACCTGCACTCCACAGTGTCTTTGTTTAGCAACATTCCCCAGGACCTTACCATTAAGTGTATAAGTCATGCCCTGATTTGCCTTTCCAAAATGCAGCACCTCATATTTATCTAAATTAAAATCCATCTGCCACTCCTTGGTCTATTAGCCCATCTGATCAAGATCCTATTGTACTGTGAGGTAACCTTCTTCGCTGTCCACTATACCTTCAATTTTGGTGTCATCTATAAACTTACTAACCGTACCTTCTATGTTCACATCTAAATCATTTATATAAGTGATGTAAAGTAGTGAACCTAGCATCTATCCTTGTGGCACACCGCTGGTCATCACAGGCCTCCAGTCTGAAAAGCAACCCTTCACCACCACCCTTTGCCTTCTACCATCGAGCCAGTTCTGTATCCAAATGATTAGTTCTCCCTGTATTCCATGTGATCTAACCTTGCTAACCAGTCTACCAAAAGGAACCCTGTTGAATGCCTTACTGAAGTCTATATAGATCACGTTCACCGCTCTGCCCTTATCAATCCTCTTCGTTACTTCTTCAAAAAGCTCAATCAAGTTAGTGAGACAAGATTTCCCATGCACAAAGCCATGTTGACTATCCCTAATCAGTTCTTGCCTTTCCAAATACACGTAAATCCTGTTTGTCAGGATTCCCTCCAACAACTTGCCCACCACTGATGTCAGGCTCACCGGTCTATAGTTCCTTGGCTTTTCCTTACCACCTTTCTTAAGTAGTGGCACCACGTTAGCCAACCTCCAGCTTCCAGCACCTCGATGGTGGCTATTGATGATACAAATATCTAAGCAAGGTGCCCAGCAATCACTTCCCTGCAAAGTTCTGGGGAACACCTGATCAGATCCTGGGGATTTATCCACCTTTATGCATTTTAAGGCATCTAGCTCCTCCTCCTCTGTAATATGGACATTGTTCAAGATGCCGCTATTTATTTCCCCACGTTCTATATCTTCCATATCCTTCTCCACAGTAAACAATGATGCAAAATACTCATTTCGTATCTCCCTCATCTCCTGCAGTTCCACACATAGGCAGCCTTCCTTATCTTTAAGGGGTCCTGTTCTCTTCCTAGTTACCCTTTTGTCCTTAATTTATTTATAAAATCCCTTTGGATTATCCTTAACCCTATTTGCCAAAGCTATCTCATGTCCCCTTTTTGCCCTCCTGATTTCCCTCTGAAGTATACTCCAACTGCCTTTATACTCTTTTAAGGATTCACTCAATCCCTGATGTCTATATCTGATATATGCTTCGTTCTTTTTCTTGACCAAACCTCAATTTCTCTCCTCATCCAGCATTCCCTACACCTACCAGCCTTGCCCTTCACCCTAACAGGAACATACAGTCTCTGGACTCTCGTTATCTCATTTTTGAAGGACTCCCATTTTCTAGCCATCCCTTTATCTGAAAACATCCATCCCCCCAACCCCTTCAACTTTTGAAAGTTCTTGCCTGATACCATTAAAATTGGTCTTCCTCCAATTTAGAACTTCAACTCTTAGACCCTGTCTATCCTTTTCCATCACTATTTAAAAACTAATAGAATTATGGTTGCTGGCCCCAAAGTGCCTCCCCACTGACACAGTCACCTGCCCTGCCTTTTTTCCCAAGTGTAGGCCAGGTTTTGAACCTTCTCTAGTAGGTACATCCACATACTGAATCAGAAAAATTTCTTGTACACGCTTAACAAATTCCTCTCCATCCAAGCCTTTACACTATGACAGTCCCAGTATATGTTTGGAAAGTTAAAATCCTGTACCATAATCACCCTATTATCCTTACAGATAATTGACACCTCCTTAAAATTTCTTTCTTAATTTCCCGTTGACTACCGGGGGAGTCTATAGTACAATCCCAATAAGGTGATCATCCCTTTCTTATTTCTCAGTTCAAACTCAAATAACTTCCCTGTACGTATACCTAGGAATATCTTCCTTAAGTACAGCTGTAATTTTATCTCTAATCCAAAATGCCGCTCCCCGTCCTCTCTTGCTTCCCTTTCCATCCTTCCTTTGACATCTATACCCTGGAACATTAAACTGCTCGTCCTGTCCATCCATGAGCCACGTCTCTGCAATTGCTATGATATCCCAGTCCCACGTTCCCAACCATTCCCTGGGTTCATCTGCCTTACCTGTTAGGCCTCTCACATTGAAATAAACGTAGTTTAATTTATCAGTCCTACCTCATTCTCTGTTTTGTTCCTGCCTGCCCTGACTGTTTGGTTTGCTCCTTTTCCCAGTGTCAGACTAATCTCTTTCTTCACTGTCTCCCTGGGTCCCACTCCAGCCCCCATCCCCTTACTAGTTTAAATCCTCCCAAGCAGCTTTAGCAAATCTCCCCATCAGTATAGTAGTCCCTTTCCAATTCGGGTGCAATCTGTCGTTCTTATACAGGCCACTTCTACCACAGAAGAGATACCAATGATCCAAAAATGTGAATCCTCCTCCCCTGCACCAGCTCCTCAGCCACACATTCATCTGCTTTAGCCTCTTATTTCTACCCTCACTAGCTCATGGCATTGGCAGTAATCCAGATATTACTACCCTTGAGGACCTCCTTTTTAAGTTCCTGTCTAACTTCCTATATTGTCTCCTCAGAATCTCATCTTTTTCTCTTCCTATGTGTTAGTTCCAATATAACAACATCCTGTTGGTCTCTCTCCCCTTTGAGAATATTCTGCACCCTCTCTGAGATATCTTTGATCCTGGCACCAGGCAGGCAACACACCATTCTGATGTCTTGCTGTCAGCTGCAGAAACATGTCTCTGTGCCTCTGACGAGAGAGTCCCCAATCACAATTGATCACTTGGGACCTGGCGTGTTCCTCATCACAATAGAGCCAGTGTTGGTACCAGAAACCTGGCTGTCTGTGCTACGTTCGCCTGAGAATCCTTCACCCCCTTCATTTTCCAAAACAGCATACTTGTTTGAGATGGGGACAGTCACAGGAGACTCCTGCATGACCTGCCTCCCTCTCCTACCTTTCCTGGCGGTAACCCATCTACCTGACTGTATCTGCAGGTTTTCTCCCTTCCTACAACTGCCACCCATCATACCCCCTAGCTCCTGTAAATTTCTCATTGCCTCTAACTGCCGCTCCAACTGATTCATGCGACCCAATAGGATTTGCAACCAAACACACTTCCTGCAGACATAATCATCACTAACATGGAAACTCTCCCTAATCTCCCACCTCCAACAGGAATGGCACATCACTCTACTAAAGGCCATCTTTGCACCTTAACAATCTACAGATCCAGAAAACAGCACAGTCTTACTGCTCTGAAAAACACCACTCCAGGCTACTTAGTACTTAGGTTTTATATTTTTAAAATTTAATCAAGAGACAGATCTCAGTAAAACATATAATCAAAAAACAACCCACTCTACTCATATGGTAGATTTACAAAAGAAAAAGAAATAGTAAGGTTACACTTAGAAACTATCCACTTAGCTGCACCCCTGCTGTGATGTCTCCCACACAGATTTCTCCAAGGTCAGCTGTGAATTTGGCTGTTTGTTTATTTGTCTCAGATGAACTCCAGTGGCCAGAGATACTTGAAACCAGACAGCAAAGGGAGTAGCTGTAAAGGTTCACTGCTGGGTCAGACAGCAGTGCAGCTTCTTCTCTCTGTTGATTCACTTCTCACCATGTGGTCACTGCCTTTGTTTTCCTTCCTCCTTTTCTAAAGTGCCGTTGTTTTGATTTTTTTTTCCCAAAGTTCCAAAAGATTGCAACAGCTTATAAAACAGTAATTACTACTACTAGAATTCAAGCAAATCAGCTCCAACACTGAAAATACCTCAAAAAAGGAGCAGCTCTTACAGCCACAAATTTTTCCCGTCCTCCATCTGGGATTACCCAGAATCCTTCATAGATTTGCTAAATAATTAAACTTATCATCCAAGGAATTTTTAGACAGCATTCAGAGGCACCTTGTACAATGTAATGAGACCATCATATCAAAGAAGTTAATGAGTTATTATTGGGTTTTCCTTCACAGAACACACCTACGTAGATGTGTGAGTTAAGCTACAGGTAAATGCCAGAAATTTGGTCATGTTCTTTCAACACGTTAACTTGCAAGATGATCATGTAAGAGCAGAAACAGAAATTGCTGGAAAAACTTCGCAGGTCTGGCAGCATTTGTGGAAAGAAATCAGAGTCTAGTGACCCTTCTTCAGAACTGATGGCAGCTAGGAAAAAGTTTTTATGCAGAAGACAGGTTTGGGGGTGCTGCTGGAGTACGTAAGTAATAAATGATAGATGGGGATAATACCCAAATAGAGAGAAAAACAGTTGGACAGACAAAGGAATGGATAACGATCTGGCTAGGAGAATGAATGGCTGCTAATGGGGACTATTAGTGGCTAACAATGGGTTGTGTGTAATAGCAGATCATGAGATGTGTGGGGTTAGGGGAAAGTGTGGGGAAGGTGCATAAGCCCTAAATTGTTGAACCCGATATTGAGTCCAGAAGGCTGTAGAGTTCCCAAGTTGAAAATGAGGTGCTGTTCTTCCAGCTTGCGCTGAGCTTCATTGGAGCACTGCAGGAAGCCTGAAACAGTGTCAGGCTTTGTCAGATGCTCTCTTTGATCTCAAGCTCTGAACTCACAACTGAGCTTAAGTACCGCCAAGGCTGAACACACTGGACATTCTTGGGAGTCTCTCAGATGCTGTCATCCAGAGGAAGCGTCTGTGTTTCCTATGCCATAGAGTTGGCAATAATCTTATAGAGAACCCCAGGCTAATATTCTGGAAACTTGGGTTTGAATCCCACCATAGTAAATGATGAAATTTAATTCAATTAAAAAATCCTGGATTTAAAAATAAGCCCATTGCTGACCATGTAAACTGTATTGATTGAGATAAAACCCATTAGGTTCATTAATTTTCTTTAGGTTCTTACCTGGTCTAGCCTATATGGGACAAAAACAATGTGACTAACTCCTAACTGCCCTCTGAAATGGCCTGGCGAACCACTTAATTCAAGGGCAGATAAAGAGGGGTAACAGTGCCTTGCAGTGATGCCCATATCCCATGAATGGAAATGTAGAAAGGGAGCCCTATAGGATGCGCGTTACACCACAGATCTCAATGTATCAGGGGTTGATATTGTGGTTAGCGAATATGCTAGGTTGTTAGGTACAGACATTGATGAGTTCTCAATATGAAACTGTTAATCAGACAGCTGCAGAAAGGCTGAGCACGTTCCATGATGATGAAATCACTGTCTACATCAGACAACCAATGTGACATTACTCTACCTCTTTAGTTATCATGTTAGCTGAGAATGAAGGGTGCTGATACTTTGCATCATGGGCCAGAGGGGTCTGGGTTAGATCTGGCAATCTTGACATAATATTTTTAAGTAAGGATAAATTCCCCTTTTTTTATGCGTGTATGGAGAATGAAAAATTACAACAAATTTTCTTTGTTTAATGTTGCATTTTAAAGGCTAAGAGAGTCTCTCAACTACTCCAGATGGTATTCTTGATGTCTAAGATAGCTATCAGGCAGCTTGCAGCATAGCTCCTTGTGGTACTGGCTTCCTGCATCCTCTTTATCCCTCCAATTACCCTAAAATAATTCATTGCTGATCCAGTTTTGTCGCTGTAGGGAAGTGAACTCAGTTCCAAGCCTGCTATTTGCATGACCAAATTAGAAGAGAATCCATTCTCTTAACCCTCAGTTTATGCGTACTGTTTGTGGATAAGGAAGAAATGAAGTGCGAATGTGAATTCAGTTTGGTGATAGTAATCTTAAAAAAAATCATTATGCTTTCTCAGTCCAATATTAATGCCAAGATTATCCCAAAATGGGGCTCTTCAAAACTTGTGTCAGTAATGTCAGTGTTGGGAAAAGGCTCACTTTGCAAAGTTTGCACTTGGTGTTAATTTTAGCTGCATCCCTGGTTAAGTGTAACACTGGCTAGGAACAGAGTAACATTGTTTTTACCTTCCCACTGACCCCACAACCCCTCTTAGTTCCAATCTCAGAAAAGTATAACCTGTTTTAAAAAGCTGACATCTCCATGTTCAACACCAATGAATCTTTGTGGCCTGAAATAGACTCATAGGGTTGTACAACACAGAAACAGACTTTATGGTCCAACTTGTCTATGCTGACCAGATATCCTAAATTTAATCCAGTCCTATTTGTCAGCATTTGGCCGATATCCCTCTAAACTCTTCCAGTTCATGTACCCATCCAGATGCCTTTTAAATGTTATAAATATACCCACCTCCTCTGCGAGCTCATTTTTATAGTTATTACGGAGACTGGCGAGTTCCACCTTTCCCCTTTGGAACCAAAATACATTCAGATTGCAGAATCTAAAGAAACTTGGTCTCAAAGGATTTTAAAACCAGACAGCACAGAAGGAGGCCGTGCCGGCTCTTTGATAGAATGAATGCATTTTTGCACCAGTTTCCTGCTCTTTCTTCATAGTCTGGATTTTCTTTTATTATCCCTTCAAGTATTTAACCAATTTTTAAATGTTGCTGTTGAATCTGCTTTAATCACTGTTTTCAGCCAATTTTAGACCATAATTTGTTGTATAAAAACCTTTCCAGACTACATGGTTGACCCTTGAGTAGCTGAGCAAAGCCATTCAGTTCTACAAACAAGACAGTCCAACTCCTATCCCTTCAGGGTAACTAGAGATGGATAATAAATGCTAGCATCACCCACATCCCTGGAACAAACAAAATGAGTTTTCTCCATCTACGCTGCCCCATCCTTACCCCAGAAAGATGCTAAGAATAACATCTGTAAATAGTGTGAGTCGTCCATGCTACTTCTGGTCTGATTTCGATAATGCATAAGCTAAAACTTGCCCTCAAAATACCAGGAATGCTGTTGAGAATGTAGGCCCTGTCATGGTTAAGATGTTAGGTCATGGTTCACATCCAGGTTTGCTCTCTGACCTCTGGACCACTGATGTTGCTTGTGGTGCTTGACTTCCAGGGCAGAATGTTAATAGGTTTGAAGTAGTTAGTAAGCGGATTACCTTTCAACACAGCAGCAAGCGGGGTAATTTGGGTGGAGGGGACAACTGTGGAGGTAAGAGGAAAGTTGAGAGAGTTTAGTTTCACATTAAACCCTAAAAACGAAACAGTTAAAATAGACAATCTGAATGGAATTGAACAAGAACAATCAAAGGATGCAGTGGGTTACAGCAGGAACAACATGCAAAGTGACTGAAAAACAAGACCCTTGTTCAATGAACAGAACACTTATCCCTTCGATATTCATTCTGAGTTTCTGCTCAGTCTAGGATCTATCTAATTATTTGTGGTACAGGGTAGAGCACTGGTGACTTGCATGATAGCAACAGGTTCATTTTTCATTAATGTGCTCGGTATAATTGTTAAGAATTGTCAGGATCAGTACAGATTCCAACTGCTCCCTTTGGCTTCATGTGCAGAACTCAATTGTCTCTGGCTGAGGACCTGTGACATCAGCAAATTGGCAACACTCAATGTAACTTAAACATTAACTCATTCAGAACTATTACATTATGGAACATTCTCCCGCCATTTAACGAGTTAATGTATCTGACACTGTTACATTTACCACTACCCATTTCCTTCACCTCCAAGTCTCAGACTTCGAACATAATAGAATCATAGATCATAAAATCCCTACAGTGTGGAAACAGGCCCTTCACCCCAACAAGTCCACACTGACCCTTGGAGCATCCCACCCAGACCCATCCCCCTAATCTACACATCCCTAAACACTACGGGCAATCTAGCATGGCCAATCCTCCTAGCCTGCACATCTTTGGACTGTGGGGGGAAACTGGAGCATCCAGAGGAAACCCACGCAGACACGGGGAGAATGTGCAAACTCCACACAGACAATTGACCGAGGGTGGAATCAAACCTGGGTCCCTGGTGCTGTGAGGCAACAGTGCTAACCACTGAGCTACCTTGCCACTGAGGCAGCCTAGACTTTTCCCAATGTTCCCACAACACACTCTCCTCAGACTTGAAAGAATGGTAGGGCTTAAGCTTGAGGTCTTTTGACCTTGATTCTGGTCTGTGGATCACATCTCCACTGGAGGATCTTTCATCTCTTGGATATCCTTCATGGATACTGTTGTTTCCTGGTAGACCCAATCTTTGATCCATTACTTTATCTGAAGGATCTTTAAACTGCTGCATTTTTCTTTGAAGAGAAATTTTTCCCTGCTGACTCAGGTAGCCACCGTATAACATTATTAGGGGACATTTAATCTCAAGAATACCTGTAATGGAAAACAATCACCTCTGTTGAATGAAGTTATTTCTTCATTGCTGTAGCCTGGATTTCTGAAAGAGGCAATTGTTATTTTGATTTGAATAGGTATTCTTTCTTTGGCAGTTGCCTGGATTTTAAGATCAGACAATTTATTCTTTTTAAAGATGTCCTGAATCTATGGATATTTATCTGTTTTCCATGGAGACTTTGCATCTCATCTCCTCAATGTGTTGCTTCAGCTGGATGTCTTCAGTCACTCTAGGTATTTGATTGGTGAGCTGGATTTTACTACAGCTTCAGCCTTGCTACTGGAAGGCTCTGTACATGCAGAGTTCTGCATGTTCTACTGCATCTATTTATTCACCAGAGTGTTCTGCTGTCTGACATTGTTAGTTAAGGATTCCTGGATTGACTCAAACCGAATTGTACTGTTTTCATCCTTGTTCTTAGTGTTTGCTTTCACCTACAAGTTTTGCTGACTTTTACATTCTTAATGTCTTTGGTGATGGCAGGAGTATTTCTCAACCTGACAACCCTATGTAATTGTAGATTTCACAACAAGTAAGTTTGAGACCTTTAACCTCTATAGAAGCCTTTGGCCACTACTTGGCTGACTGAGCTCTGGTGGCACTCCTGGCAATTCCTGAGGGTTCTCTTTCCAAGAAAACTTCCCACAGGTAAGCTGGAATAACTAGCTTTCTGGCAAGCATTAGAAAATCATCTATAATTGTGAAATGCTCAAAGTATGTGTTCTCAGTCAACTTGCTGGATTGTTGGCGTGTCCAGTGAAGTTTCACTAGTTTGGTACTGGGTGTAGAGAGAGTGCAAATTATGTAGGCATCTTCAGTTCTCTTACTTTCCTTGTGTTGTGACATAATGTGTACCTTACCTATGGTTTTGACAGTATTTTTTCAGCTGCGTCACAGGGGATACCTTGATCATATTGACCTGTTCGTGTGCGTAGCGTTTCCCTTCACTGAAGCTTTGTGAATAAGCAGATCTCTCTTGCTATTTCTTCTCATAATATTTATTTATTATTTTATCTGTAAAGTTGTTTTAAATCAATGGCATTTCAATACCATTTGCAATCTGTTGTTCTCTCAGCATGTCTTCCTGCATTCATCAACGCTGATTTAGGTTTTGTTTGCTGAAGCTTGTTAGACTCTCATTACAGCAACATGTCAGTAACTTCCTTGCCAATTCTTTTTAAAAATCTGTAATGCCATAATAATGTATGAAATTCTTCGATAAACATTTAAACAATATTAACTTGCTGCTCTGCAGTGATTTACTCCTTTCAAACTTTTAATTTCTGTTTCACTGCAATTCTGTCTGTCCATGGTTTTCCATCTTATTAAAGGTTTTCTTGTTTTTTTACGGGCAAGCTGGATAATTTACTGCTTTTAACAGTCCAGAACACAGCATACTTCCTCCTGCATTTCTGAAGTAGGGTCCCAACCCGAAACGTCAGCTTTCCTGCTCCTCTGATGCTGCCTGGCCTGCTGTGTTCATCCAGCTCCATACTGTGTTATCTCTATAATTCCTCCTGCATACTTCTTTTAAAATTAAGTTCTTTTGGTAGTGGTTTTTTATAAATCTTTGTAATAAAATTGTGGTTTAATTGCTGAATAAATCTTTTTTAAATCTTAAGTTTCTTCGGTATTGTCTTCTTCTGCTGGGATCTTTTCCCAGTTTCACTAGAAGAGACTGTTTTAGCTAAATTCTGAGGTTTTCCTGATTCTGCATCTCCAGCACTGATTACTTTCCCAGCGTTTTCACCGTCCTTTGAATTTGTGTCTTGTGGACCCTACTCACAGTAGCAGTACAGCTTGTATTTTTCCCACAGGGCTGTCTTATTATGGTTCAAAACATTCTGACACCCTTCATTGACATTAAAGCAATAAGATTTCATGGGCCAAAGTATCTTTTCGTACCCATAACATTTTCTCCTGCTCTGTTTGTACTTCGTATTTTGTGAGATTGTGTCTTGAGGCACAGTTGGTAGCGTCCTTGCTTCTCAACTAGAGGTTCAAGGAATGAGTCTCACACCTAGACTTGATAGACATGGAAAGTGCAGGTTGACTGGCAACTTGCAAATCCTTCCAATGATCCAATGGCAGGCAATAACAGAGAGACTCCAAGTCAGCCACACTTGATGAGGAGTGGCACCTCTCTAACCTCTCCTCTGGTATCGGGCTACCAACCTATTCTGCAAGAGATAATATGTAAATGCATGCTTCATCAAACATCTTTAGTTGCGGGAAGGCTAAGAGGAAGAATGTGAGCATTCTGGCTTTATGGTACTTGCCTGACATGAATGACATGAAAACGTGTCATTTATGGTAGACACTCTATTGATAACATGGCTGCCACAACCAGCCCTATATCAATAAGAGTGAACATGTACCGAGTAAGGGCTGCACAAGTTGGAGACCACCAAGGTAAAACATTTTCAAAGCACATTCACCAGGTGAACCCTCTGTCCAAGCACAGGGTTGTTAGTTTTGAGGTTCTAGGAATAAATAAAGGCAGCCATGTTGCACAGAAAATTGTGCTACCTGCTTGGAGGGAAAGATGTTGGGAAATATAATCATTCCACCACAATTTTCCTCCGTGGGGCAAACAAAACAATAAAAGAAAGGGCAAGAGAGATACATCTGATTTCTGTTTCAAAAGCAATGCCATTATTTTCTCAATTTATGGCTTGGAGAAGCAATAAGAACATGAAAGTTACCTAGAACAGTGAGGCGTGCCTTGGCTGAGTCACTGTCCAGTTCTGTGCTGGCTATACATGTGTAGATCCCTTCATCTCGTTCAGACACGTTAATGATTGTTAAAGAGTCATCATCTTTCTTCATCCTGAAATCAAAGATGGTTCTAAATAACTCTCAGTTTTTTTTTGCCTTTCCCTCCATTTTCCCCCCCTCTCCATTTGGGATCTACTGGCCAATGCTGGTGAGGTACTGCCCTTCATTAATGAGACACTGGAATATCCTGATGAACAACTGACCCATGTTGGTGAGGGACTGGCCCATGTTAATGAGGGACTGGCCCATTGTTAATAAGGGAATGGCCCGGGTTAGTGAGGGACTGGCCCATTGTTAATGAGGGAATGGCCCATGTTA